AAAATTATTCGGAATAAAAAAATTAAGGATTCTTATTATTTGTTTCTTCTCTTTTCTAGGATGATAATAAATATAATAAACTTTCTATTGTAAATTATTAGTAGAATTAATATACAGTGAAAATTAGAATAATAATAATGGTAAATAAAGTTTTCGATAAGAAAAGTGTTCATCTGTTTAACACACTCATTCGCTTCATTCTGAAAATAAGATGGAAAGTATAATTTATATCTGGTTCTATGCTTGGAGGACAGCGAGGGGATGGTGGTGGTATACAATATGCATACAGATGCTTTAAAGCCTCATTTAGTTTCTGTTATCTTCCAATTTGTGTGATTGTGACTACCCTATGTGATAGTTAGTTTAAAACTTCTTACATACACCATGGTTTTCTTTTGTTTCGCTCTAATGAATAAAATAGACTCAGAACAGCTTTGCGTTGGGAACAGTATATTTACATAAATATGTATTATAAAATGAATATAAGAATCAGCATAATAATGCTTTTTAGAAAATGTATGAATAATCTTTTGAATAAGGCATTATGACACCTAAAATGATGAATAGTAGTTCAAATCATTTCTTTTCATCACAGTAGCTGTAGCAGAAATCAGAAACAGAAACTACTGAAACTAATAGTTAGAAAGCCGAAACCTCAAGGAATATTTCTGAACACATGATTATTTCTCTTTAGAAGTGCTACTCATGTTTACAACTTTCATGTGCCTGTTAGAGGTGTCATTCGTTCCATAAAAACAATAATGCGTCAATAACTAGAAAATATGAAAAATTTTCTTTACAACAGAACCAAATGTATGCCTGGATTTCGACAGTCTTGCTAATTTATCAACGAGTACTACGCGTCCAATACTTAGGCATAACCTTTACTTCAATCAATCTGTTTTCTCAGTTATCTGTGTTAACAAACGTTATAAATTTCACCTGGCTTTTGGTCTTATGGTCATAATCAGATATGTTAAATTGAAAGTAAAAAAGCTTGCAAAGAAAAACCTTGAAAACTATAACTGAACCAACGAATTTTGAACTTGAGATTCAGGAAAGTCCAAAAGCGTTCGCATAAACACCTAATTGTGAATACCAATTCTTACTGTGCATTTCTATAAAACAAGAGGAAATGCATTTTGTCTTGAATGTACAACAGAAATTTAGTCTTCTCATTTTCCTTCCGAAATCCTCTACAATAATAATCGGTGCTTTGATGTTAACATTGCAGAGTTCAGTTAAATATTTCGGAAATTACCAGTCACAGAAAACTTGAGGCAAAGAGCACCCAACACATCCCAATAAAAAGAATGTGCACACCATGCAGTCTCTTATTTATCAATGCTGCACAACCGCTGAAATGAAGACTATTATTATTTGTCCATTCGGTTCCGTGTGGAACATATGGCTTCATTAACACATTCCTATTGTATTTTGTGCTTTGCCATATATTTTAGCCGGCTTGGTGAATGCCCACAAGCTTCCATTTCCTCTTCAAATGATAACCTCCATATCACCCTTAGAAAACCATCCTCGCCTCGCTTACTAGTTGGTCCTAAGGGTAAGAAAAGAAGGAAAGTTTAGCTGGCGACTTAATCTCAGAAAAAGCAACTTCATTGTTACTAAAACTCCAAAATACAGAAATGAAGACTATTGTGCTATAAAAACAAGAGTTTAAATTTAGGCTTGATAATGAGGAAGAACTTGGTAGCTTTTACTCATCTTCCAACTGATATCAGTTTGGGATACTGGTTACCTCATTACCAACCAAATGCCCTCAATCTCGGTTACTGAGTTATCTAAATTCTCACGCTTTCTTTCGATTCACCTTCAACTTCCATAATACTTCTTACTTTCCACATCATATTTCTACATTTTAATCAGGTAGCAGATAAACTTCACAGTTTGGAGGATAGAAATAATAATCATCCACATACTTCAGTAAAACATTTAAATGTGATATGACTTTACGTCAAAAATAATCACTGTAAGCTAGTCTTCACTGTGAACAGTTATTTAGTCTATTTTGGTTCACTATTATGCACAATACCAGTTTATATTATACACCTAGTAAACTGTCCAAGTTTCACAGCGAGTACAGTATTGATTGAAGTAAACAAAACTGAAAAAACCTGTCACATGTGACAAAAATATTGCACAATATATCTAGTGGATGTCTGACTCCAGCTATGCTTAGAGTACTAAGTAGTAATTAGTATGCCGAAGTAGTTCATAGTTTACCAGCTACGACTAAGTGATCTTCAAGAATGACCACTTTATCATCAAATCACGACTAACCATAATTGTCATTATATATATATATATATATATATATATATATATTTGTACAATTCGTTGTACGTATCATTAGTTTTGACAAAGAATTCTATTAAAAAACTAAAAACAGAATCCTTTCCATTGCAAATTTACTTTCACAAAAGTGGAAATATTGCAGCTGAAATGTGAAGCTTTCCGTGCAGAGGTCAACTATACCTACGTTCATTTTAACAAATGCATTTTTAGTTTCTGTATTTATTTACTATAGTTTGGTTTGTAAGGGTTAGTTATGTTTCGCGAGTTGATCACGCACTGATATTTATCTAGCTATCACGAAGTTGATAAGCAGACAAAACAGTCAGATAAAGTTGTGTGATTTTGTAAGTGGAATTGTATTACGTTGCTTAGGTCCAGTGAAGACACTAAATGTATGGACCATTTATATAGTATAGCGGAACAAGAAAAGTATGCATTTAAGTATTGCAACTGATGGACTGTATAATTTTTGCATTAAGTAAAATTTCTTTTCTGTAGTTTGGTTTGTAAGTAAAATTTCGTCAGACTAAGTAGAAATTTCATAACTACTGCCTTACTAGTGATTGAATTGTCACTAGCCTTCCATTTTCGCTGGTTATGCCAATGTATAGTCGAGAACTAGGCAAGACATTAAGATGCTAAAGTGACTGCAAAAATAAAGCACCTTTCATATGATAATTGAATTTCTGACAAGACTGAAATCCAAATTTAGGCGAGATAACTTTAAATTAACTCATTCTTTCGGATAACAAAACTGTTCTGCCTGGAAAGCAGTATTTGTATTCTGAAATGCTTAAGTATATTAAACTTTAAAATGAGTCACTTAATAAAGTGGATACATTGTTGCATCTAGCCCAGCAGCCGAATTATACACCTGATTAACACATTTTGACCAAATATTTGGGACCAAAAATGTTGTGAGGAAGTACCATTACATCATTCATGGATAATTCAAATAAATTCACTTTATATCGAAGTTTGCTCTGAAAATTTCCATAATGACAATGAAAGCTTCTCAGTTAAATCACCTAGCTCAGGGAACATAAAAGGACCACATATCCCGTATTTGGTAACTGATCTGTATATATTGGTGTATTTCGCATTTCACTTATTGCAACCAAACATGTAATGATTTCAGCCAACATAATATTGTCGAGAGAAAACTTCGAATTCTGCAAGAATTTCATTGTCTATACAAGGTGATTGATTAGTTATGTTTTGTTGGAACGAAAAAAACATTTTTGCCATAGTAGGCTTGATTTACCGTATAGTTATGACCGAAAACTTGTTGAAGCTAAGCTTGTTCAAATACGGTTATTGCAATAACCGCACTATTCAGCATACTGAAAATACAGCTTACTGGAAATCATTCGAATAAGCGGTTTGAAGATAAAGAGTGACTTCAACTCGATTTCGTATTTTACCCTTTTTTCTTTCATAGTGGCAGTGATAAAATCAACTAAAATGAATTCCAGTTGAAATCAGATAAAGTTTAGTATAAAGAACACGCTGATAATCGAAATCAAGGTGATTTGTAGTTTGTACAATAAACTGCAGCAAATTTCTTTCGAGCTCTTGCCAAACATGTCGTGTAAAGTTATAACAGATTTTCTGCATGAAGTTCTACATGCATTCGAACTGTTCACAATTCAGATCAACAAGTGATGAAAACATTGACTGTGATAAATTAAATGCCGGCGAAATATAGAATTTGTTTAGAAGACAATGTAATGGAAGTAGTCAATCTGCTTCTCCCTAGGCTATTTTGATATAAAACGGGAAATGTGGTTGTAGGCTAGATGCCATAAAGCTGTCAGCTCAGTGAAATAACTCATGCTTAATTCATACTCAAAGTTCTTAAAATTGTAAGATAGTTTACATGCAACAAAAAAAGCCTGTTGTGGATGCATTAAAAGAAGGATCCACACACTTGGCTAATCATTATAGTATAGGTACCACTTATAAATTTTTTATGAACACTATGTTACCTAATCATAATTTTAGTGTAATAAACTACGTATGAAGTTGCGTTGCTGATATCCGTACCACTAAATCAAACATTCTCATTGGCGAAACATCCATTATGGATAAGATTTTATTTTGATAAATCACATAGTGTTACACAGTAATATTAACTGATGACTAGTCAACTGACTAGTCAATTCCATACATATATATAAATGAAGGAAAAAGTTGTGTGAGTAACTTGATATGATTATGAGCAATAATTTGTGCTCGAAACGTCATCAATTAATATTACTGTGTAACCCGGTGTGACTTATCAAAATAAAATCTTATCCATAATGGAGTTATACTCAACCACAGTGCCCAAGTTTTATACTTATATCAATGAAACACCCATCAATATACATCGTCTTCTTTTTCCTAATTAAATGCTATTCTCAAGATTTTCGACTTTTAGCAGTTCCTTAGTCTATAACATTAGACTTTAGATTTTTCATTTTGGTGTATGAAATTAACACCTTTGGTAGTCTAATGAACAATAAATGGTTCATCCTGTGAAGTAGAATTGCTTACGCAACATCTTGGAAAAAATTATTAATAGCACAGAATAAAATAAGTGTAAGAAATCTGTGGTTGCATTTTTCCTTGGATGGAACAAATCAGTTATTAAAAACGATTAAAAAAAGTCGGTACCACATATCAGTATTCATTGGACTTACATTAAAACTTTTGGCATTAAAATGGGGCCATAGCATTCTGGAGGCTTGTTTACTGCCACTTTTTTCACTGATGCCAACTAGTAAATGATGACGCTTAGAGGAATGAATGAACACTAATTCACTTGATAAATTGCAGATATCATTCTCGAAATTTTCTTTTATTTGTACCAGTTTTACCCAACACATTTCCAGATTATTTGTACTAGCTAAAGCTTCAATTAATGCACCATTATTATGCATAGAGCTATTCAAGTTATCATATTTTATGGCGCTGGCTATAAAATCAGATACTGATAAATCGTCTCGAGTCTTTTTCTGTCCATTGACAAGACGTACACAGTTGTTTGAATCATTTTCTTTATAAAGCTTTAATTGTTCTGTAATTCTAAGATTATTACAGTTTCCTAGTTTATCTTCACTATAGTTAATTGGTGAGCAGAAAAAGTTCGTATTAGTTTTCTGATTTAATAGATCACTCCATGGACTGATGGGATTGAGTGGTACATTTTCAGTTGAAAACATTGTATCGTGGAAACTGGAACACTTTTTAGGGTGATTACTACAAATTTTCCTTGAATTTGCCCCCATCGTACCACTTTCCACAAATGGGTTGAATAAAGGAAACCCAAGTGAGGACGAGGACGATGTGGCTTGATTATTTAATTTGTTATGATGACCGCTTTTATGTGTTATACAGTTTTTGTTATGTACAGTAGTCATTTGACTTTTGTAATCTGGAAGTGGACAGTTATCGTATAACTTAGATCGCATTTTACCCAAAGTATAGCATTCCTTACTGTTGTTTACTAACGGGTGCTCTATATTTGAAGCGCAAGTTCTAACTTCATCGTAGATACTACCTGTATCGTTTTGGAAATACGAATGATTTATCTGATTTTGAATATTTGAAACGTTGAGACGGTCATTTAAACCACTAAACATGAAGTCATTCTCATCATTCTTATTATCTGAGGGTACCGAATTCTTTAATAAACTTGTAAAAGTTTTGTAGATGCAGTCGATCACTGACAGTTCTTGTGTGTATGCAGGATACAGTTCAGTTAGTTGGTTAATCCAGCTTACTGAAGATGGTACTTTTGTTGTAACTGATGATGTTGAAGATAATGGAAGTGGAGAAGGAATAAAAATTTCATTTTGTTTCGATTGTTCGATAATACTTGGCAGTATGATGTTATTCTTTAAGTAAGAGCTTAACAGGTGATCACATCCACTGGATTTTATCAGGCTTCTTATGTAACCGGTAGAATTTTGCATAAAGTTGACAAGCGACAAGTGATCATCCTCAAAATGACCTTGTCTAAATGAGTCTGTATATTTTAGGTTTAGTGAAGTGTTTGAATAGGTATTATTATTGCTAGTTGCATGTGCCAGTAGTTCGTCAAAACATGGGATGCTTCTATATTGATGCACTGACGCGTTAATATGTGCTGCAACTGATGACGTTGGAGATGTTTTATGACTTTGTAGAAATGTCAAAAAGTTGACAAAATCATGATGACTGTGTTGACTTTGTGCATGGTTTCTCAAATTCGGATCTAGATTGTGTGAAATTGTCTCTAGGTGACTATACTTTGGATATTCGTGCATTTTTTGAGAACGAAAAATTTAGAAATGGAATATTATTTTGGTTTCCTGTTTTATGACTTCTTTCCTGACGTAGAATCACTCAGAATTTGCAGATATCTAAATGAAATACATTGAGAATAGTTTTATCTGTAAGGGATAAAAGAGAATTTTGATTTAAGTGTTTCAATAAAAGAAATAACTTTCGAAATGAAGTTTCATTTGGATCCGATTTGAAATATTCCCCTTCTTGTTACTTTAATATGTCTATGATCGCATCCACTGAGTAAAATGTCACCGAACCAATAATATTGGCAACATAGTTTCACTACAACAGCTAAATTATAAGAAATAAACAACAGTTGCCACAAAAGTTTTATACAGTTCAAACTCTGATTATGCTAAATGATATAAAATGTCTGTGTCTCTAGTACTTTTCATCATAAAGGGAGTTCAATAGGACAGGTACTGGAAATTAGAAAAGCCATTCCAATATTTGATGCAATCGAGTCAGAAATATTAACGCTCAGGTTTCAAACAAAGGATATTAGTCATGACAGAGAATTCAAGTTGTTCTGTTACTTTTAATAAATGTATAAGTCCAACCTACAAAGTTTCTATTAAGCTAGTTAAATTTCTAGTTGTTTCAGAACAGGTTGTGAAGATGGGACAAATGAGGACTTGTTTGCTGCGAAAAATTTTTTCTTCTATTAGAAACGACTGTTAAAAATATTATCTTAGTGTTGACAGTCATGCAATAATTCAGTGTTTTGATTAACTAGAAATTTATTTGTGAACTAATAATCAGCCACATTAGTCTCTGCTTATTTAATAACGAGAAATCCCATCTTATGGAATAGAACAGACTATTACAAATAAGTACCACGTACAGGCCTACATCAACATACATGCAATACGTGTTTATATTTCAGAATCTTACATAAACACAATTCAGTGTTTACTTTGTGATTTTTATTCTATTTTACACACAGAATTACGCGCAAGATACAAAATCATTGGTCTCTATGTTTTTATGATTACAACAAATGCTACATTTAGGTTTAAACGGAAGAAAAATATTATTTATGTTGTACCTAAATAGGGATAAGAATCAAGTGAATATACCTCCTTGATGACATGGTTACATCAACGAAAACTGCACACAGTAATAATGATATTGTTGAGAAACGTCGTCACTTGTGTTTCCAGAATGTGGGGCGAAATATATTTTACATAACTCTTATAATAAGTGTAATAGTTAAATTAATAAAGGTAGTGGAAAATTATAGTTAGTTGGAATCAAGTAATGAGAGTAGTATCTGAGTATCCTCGTAGAATATAAATCCACAGTGGATAAGCTTATTTGATATAACACACAGTGATAATGTATTAATAGCTGGATTATGTTTATTGCACAATTTATCGCTGCTTGTAATCATGTCGATTCATTCACACGACTTCATAGCTTACTTAATATACTTTCCTTGCTTCCTTGCTTTTATTGCAGTTTTCCAATATTTTAGGTAGAGATATTGTCTCATTTTGATTTCACGTGTTCGGTGTTGATTCGATGATCATCCTCCCCGTCCACCTAACTACATTATATTTTTTCAATACTTTCACCTTGCCCCATCCTACTGTGTGATTACATGCAAGTGAATGCATTGTAATGAATTATGGATAAGTATTGAATTTAGGTCTTATGAAATTATGAAGAATAAATATCCAAAATACTGATTAGTGAACAAAAAATATTCTTTTAAACAAATTCAGTTTCTACCGTTACAAATGCGTAAGAGTTAAGGTATAGATATCCAACTGCGTGTTAGGAATCAGTCGTCACAATGCTTTACTTGTCTTACCTTTCCTAATTGTTGACGCATATAACAAAGGTGTACCTCCAATATTGAGAAAACCAATATTCATTTCATGCATCGAAGTTGCAACATATAGCTACTTAGGCCATCACACTTGATTGACAGATTTTGTCGACACACACATATTCTGATATCAACTAAATACTTTTCCTCACTGTATAACAAAATGCTCACCATCGAAATTTCTGTTAGAATCTATTGGCATTGTCTGTCATCGCAGAAATTGTATGTTTGCAAATAGGATATTACATCTCAAACACTGACAGACCTTTGTTATCTCATTAAGGACACCTAATACTGAATTACAGAAAATTGGCATCATTTAAAACAATAAAACAGACTTATGTTTTTAAAATCACCAGAAATAGTCGTATAACTCGAATGGTATCCTACTGAATGATCCCTGACATTTAACACTTCTAACAGTCTACTGGTGGTACTCGTTTAAGTCTATATGTGAGTTTCTCAACATTTCATTTTTAAACCTTTTGATTAATTAGAACCCTTCAAAAAAGGAGTATTACAATTGAAGGTACATATTTGAAGCTAGAGTTATGGGATTACCAAGTATTATTTGCATAGTAACAACACATAGTTCACAAAGCTAAGTAGAAAAACAAGACTGTACTTGGAGGTAAAGAGTTAGCAAAAATCCTTTTAGAACAAAGCAGGAATCAGCAACAAATATTGAGGATTTTGAAAGAATTCAGATTTCCGGACGAGCACTTCCATTTATTTACTAAGCATTCACAAAGAGGGGTTATTCACGCGTAGAATTACGGATACGTCTAGGTCACCCTACCACTGCGTGACACTTTGATTAGCAGAAATTTCTGAACATCTTGGAAAGTTAGCGGTGAAACATTCTTTAAAAGCTACTTGAGAATTTGTGAATTCCAAAAATGAGACAGACGCATCTGAAGTGAGTATGGTTTCGTTTGATGTTGTCTCTCAGTTCACCATTGTTCTTCTGATAAAACCAACGTGTTCTTACGTAAATTTATTTATTTAGATCTTTTCGATTTTGAATACTTACTAGTTATATACGGCAGCTAATACTAAGATTTTTCCTAAACTTCCAGTTCCTATTTAATGGTGAAATATACGGACAGATGGAGGAAGTGGCCATGGGAACTCCGCTTGCCCTGTTACCTCCTAACTGCTTAATAGCAAATCAGTTCAACATTTACACCTTAGGTGTTGATAAAAATAAAATCCTAGGACTATTTCATAATACTTATTCACCAGTTCATGAGGTTGAATTAAAGGGTAAACTTTCCTTGTAGAGGTCGAAATTTCGGGAAAAACATGGAAAATTTCAAAGACTAACTATTACCTCTTTGTTCCAACAAATAGAAAGATAAGCCTCATTAACTGCCTTAACTCCGAAATTTGTTGCCTATGCACAGAAGATATATTAAACAGAAAATTCGAATCTTTCTGAAACACCCATTTCACAAATAAACATTTGAAACAAGGACGGACAATCCGTGCAACTCATGAATACAGAACAAATTTCTGACAAACCTGTAATTCAGAGGTGACGTAACGGGTAAAATTCTTCGAAGGTGATTATCAAGAATTGTTCGAAAAACATTCTTCGCTGAACTCCTGAGTCTTACTTTATTCACGCAGTCTCATGTTCATAAAAATGTCAAAGACGAAGTTCCACTGTTGGTAACATTTTTGTGTGTACATCATTTTAATTTCTGCTGTGGAGCTAAGCACGGAGTTTATACTAAAAGGACATTTTATAGATGCCCTCACTATCGAGAAGAGGAAACAAGTCGATTAGTGGACCAGTTTTTGAACGCTATGTTCTTTTGTGACATTCTGTGCAAAGAGACAAGTCTTTCAGGGTATACGTAGTATGTAGTAAGGTCGAGACCTACGAATGGTTTCCACTTATATCTTCTGTTTAAAGCCAAAACTCTTGTTATACACAAGGAAAACCTAGAACTCTGTAAACAGATGCGTTTTATTAAATCCCTTTGAATACTGTGGCCTTAAACTACTTTCCACCAGTTGTATAATGATTTTCTATCCAATGCATTTGCATTTCCTTTATTAAACTATGAACTTTTCGAAAATTTGCATATATTCTGAAATTCGTCTTGTAGACAATATTACTATTTTCAGGTGTTTACTATTCTAGTTATCTTTCCTGGACGATATTCACCACTTAGTGTTTTGTTTGTGTAAGATTATTTCACTACATCTCACAGTTTACCACTATCTTTTTTTATATACAGTTCAATGTCTTTTGTTATGGGCTGGCATTCACAATTTACCTTTATTAGTATCTTCCATCACCATTCAGAAGGAATTCCTGACTATACAGCTCTGATGAGATGTTACAAACAGAGAGCCCTCTTGAAACATTTATTTTTAATATAATAGTAATGTTTTGCTATCACCGAAAATGTCTCAGCAAGTATGAAGTGTGGCGTAATGACATGATTTCTTCGCTGTACGAAGTGCTTTCCTCTTATCAAAAAGTAGTCTTCATAAGTGGAATTGTTGGTAATCGATGACAGACGGTGAAGGGTGAACAACAGAAAGCTGCAGACAGTTGTCAACAAGGTGTTTCTTAATCCTCAAAAGTTATGAAGTTACCTCAGAAATTAGAACTTATGTAGTGCCAGTCCTATTATAAATCTAAATGTGGTAGAATTGGTTTTTAGTTATAATAATTTTAAAAAAATCTTAGTTCAGCGTTTTAAAAGTGAAAGGTATAAAGTATTTTAATGATAATAGCCTAGTTGAATACTGTAAGTGGCATTGTATTCATCGGTCTAGTTTATTTTAGACCTTCTTAATGGCCAGTGATGTACATAGAGGGAATTACAGATCAAAGTGGTGGAACCTAGGAATACGTTTTCCTTTTTAACTAGGCAAGAAACCCAATGGAAAAAGTACAATGATGCGTCTATGTGCATAGATGAATGCAATAGTGTGGTCAAAATTAGGGTATTCACAATGAAAATCAAAACAAGACACTAAATAGTAACAAATAGGTTATGATGTAAGTCAGTTTACACTAAGCTCAATAACAACAAAAAACTTTCATCTTATATTTCATGATAATTACATATACAAAGAGCAACTCACATCAACAGTAGTAGGAAACGTAATTAACTGCAAAGTCGAAGAAAATAGTAAAAATAGCTAATTGTCCTCTTTAACTATAATCTTTCAGTTAGCGTCACACCATCCTTATTATTATTCCAGTTTTTCTAGGATATGTTGAAAGGGGTGAAATATTAGTAACAGTAATTGAAGTAATATATTTATATTCATTGGAATGTTATCTGGAAGAAACCACACAAAACTTTTCTTCTAAACTGGTCTAAAATTCTAAACATTTTTTCTGTCCTCCTGCAAAACCTATCGGTTGCTTGTGTTTATCTTCCCTTATTCCCTCTTATTTTCTTCTTCACACACATATATTTGTCACTGTATGTGTTTTTATTTTCATATCGAAAATCAAAACAAGTGATTCAAACCAATCCTGTTACACAAAATCATATGTACCGTACACTTGTCATGACTTCTGCCACACAAGGTTACTACTACTACTTTCAAGTCTAGTAGAAATAAGCTAATGAGGGTGTGGAAATTGGAAACCCAGAAAGACATATATGCAGAAAACTACACGAAGACATACATTACACACAATGATAGACGTAAACACACGTGCATACAATGTACGTGTATCTATGCTAGTGGTTTGACAGTATGGAAAATAGTTGTTTCTTAGATATTTCTCATCACATCTTTTCTTGATTTGAATAAATCTAAACATATAGGAAGAATTTAGAAAAATAAATGAACTACTGACCACTTTTGAAGGCTGAAATAAAGCTACTCATATACTAACAAGTATAAAAACGGCAGGAAAACTGTAGATGAAAATGAAATAATCCTGGAAAGACAAACTAAATGGCAGTAAAGAGTGGATACTATGTACAGGCCTGATACAGAGTGGTACATTTGTACATTTCACTAAAAGAATATCTTATGTTAATATACTTAAAAGTACTTGTCTTTTTTCGTAATTAGTGAAATGAAGTAAATAAAGGAAATTAGACGCTGTATAACTGAATATATAAATAATATTACAATTTTCAAAACTTAAAATTTATAATGTCTGCTTGTTAATTAGTGCCGATTTAACGAAATGTCTGTTCAGGAACAGAATTTCTTCTGTTTATTAGCAATCGTATTGTTTTTGTGCAAACGAAGTACCTGTTATTAATTGTAACAACTTCATTAAGTTTGAATAAGAATCAGAATTGGCATAGTTCTTTAGGTCTGAATTCCTGCAGGTCAGTTGTAAATTAAATTTTAATGAATAAATCTGTTTCAGACTAGAACTTTCCCCAAAGATGCTGTCTAGAAGGACAACGAAAGCTTCGCAATTAAACCAACCAGCTCAGAAAACACAATTAAATTAAAATCACCCAACCAAGCTATAAATACTTCCTGAAATAATTTGAGCGCCAAGTCAGATTGATTCATTATAAATTATTTAAATTAATCCCAGCGTGTTAAGAAAATCAAAACAAGATTTTTCTGAACGTTTCGCTGTGTAAGCCACAGCTTCTTCAGCAGATTTATCCTGAAGAAGCTGTGGCTTACACAGCGAAACGTTCAGAAAAATCTTGTTTTGATTTTCTTAACACGCTGGGATTAATTTAAATAATTTATAATGAAGCAAGCTATAAATATTTGCTTGTTTTTGTTTTTTTACTATAGCTTGATTCCACACAGCACTTTTGATACAAGTATGGAATTTTCAGCATGTGATATCGGTAGCCCTAATTTTGATGGCCGACCATTGATATCAGGTGTGCGTCGGCAGGGAATCGAACCATGGACCATGTGAATGGTCGGTGAGAGTCCTAACTACTGTGCCACCGACGCACATTATTATTTTAAAATCCTACGAGCATTGGACGCTTCTACCTTGTCGAAAATGGGAGCACTTTATCAAAAAGCAGTTATTTCTTTCTTCATGAATGTCTCTGACAACAAATTCTACCAACCAGTGTTAAATATAAATCACCAGTTAACTGCCCTCTAGAATGGAAATTAGCCAAACAACAAGGAGAACAAACGGGGTAACTAATTATTACTGATGCACACGATCGGATTAAAAAATACCAGCATATGATATAAGCTTAAAAAGAAAAGGTTGAACGAACTCTCAGCCCAGAACATCAATCATCATTGAACAAAATATTAAGCGAACGACACAAAGAATAAAGACGAGTTGTCCTCAAAGAAAGATTAGCGAAGATTTCAAAACAACCATCCGAAGAAACTCTGAGTCATTATGCAGTAAATTTATTGAAACATCTATTATTAAAAATAGAAGAACAATTTCTTAAGAAACGGCTGAACTACAATACTGGTGACGCTTCAAAAACAGATTTCTATGCTTCCTTACAATCATCATTCAGATCATCAAAATTAAATGAGGAAGTACAAAAGGAAATACATTAATGTATCATTCACATAATAAAACGAGGAAACATAATATTCAACATAACACTCAAGAGCAAATGCATTGAATAAACTGAAGAATAGGGAAGACATAGTGATATTACCAGCTGACAAAGGAAGAACTACTGTAGTCACGGACACAGAGGATTACACGAAGAAATCAAATGATTTACTCAAAGATAATAAAGTATATTAACAGTTGACGAGAAACCCCATACAAGCATTAGATAACAAAATCAAAGTACCACTACATAGACTAACGAAATCAGGACAAATTACAAAACAAGATCAATGGCGAATGAAATCTAACGGATCTATTTTGCCTTGATTTTATGGTACACCAAAACTACACAAACGAAACATTCCCTTACGATCAGTCGTTTCACTACCAGGAACATCGGCATATAGTCTATCTAAAGAACTTTTCAGAAAATTAAAATATCTAATAGGATCATGCGACCAGTCTATCATTTCGCCAAACCAATTTTTAAAGAAAATCATAAACATTCAAGTAGATGATAGTGAAATAATGGCGTCCTTTGATGTCACAGCATTACACACTACAACTAGTCCAAAACTAGCAAAGGACACTGTGCAACAACTACCCTATAGCAATAAACACACAAGAACATAGAATTATGTCTTACAACATACTTGCAATTCACTACTCAGATATACGAACAGATAAAAGGAACACTAATGGGATAATGAATGTCAGCATTAACAGCGGAAGCCGTTATGCAGAGATTAGAATTAATAGCCCAAAGATTTGGGTACTTTATGTTGATGATACTTTGGTAATAATTAAAAGAAATGAATTGGAATACACCCACAAAGTAATATACAACATATCTGAAGACATTAAATTCATGAACAACAAAATTCCATTCCTAGATGGCTTAATCAAAAGAACTAACATAGGAAACTTAGAAATACAAATATACAGAAAATCAACGCACACCGTCCAAATACTCACCTATAATAGCAATAACCCACTTCCTCACAAAAGGAACTATGTGCAGACAGTGATTAAAAGAGTCTAAGCATACTGTACCAGTGTGGCACTTAAGAGAGTGGAAGAGAAATACTTGCTAACTGTCTTCAAAAAGAATGAATACCCATACAATTTCATCAGAAAATGTTTAAACTAAAATCGTTATACCAACAAGAAACTATCACCAAAGACCACATGAAAACTCATTCTACCATATATATAAAATATTTCTGAAGTAATGGCTAGAATACTAAGACGATTTGAAATAAATATAACACACAAGTCAGCTCAGTCACTTCAGTCGATATTCTGCAAAATTAAAGATCCAATAGGAAGAGAAGATAAAATTAATTAATCAACTAAGGTACGTTGATATGATTATGAGCAATAAATTGTGCTCGCAACGTCATCAGTAGATATAACGATGTGTGACTTTATAAAAATAAAATTTTATCCATAATCGAATAATACTCTACCACAGTGTCCAATTTTTATCCTCATATCGAAATTAATACATTTTCAAATTAAATTGTATGAACTTCAACAAACATTACATAGGTCAAAGTGCGTGTCTCCTTCGAATCCACTTCCAAGAACATTAATTAGGGGTGAAAAACACGATATGTATTCTTTCATATCGATACATGTAGACATTTAAGAACACCAGTTTGACTGGGAGCATACGGAAATTTCAAACAGAAGGAACACCAAAAATACCTGAGAATTTCTAGAAGCCTGCTACTCAAATGAATCAGTTACTTAAATAGAGCAAGAACAACAGTTTTTGCAGAATAAAGTGGTACCATCATTTCTATATACGCAGAGTTTTTACACAGGGATTTCAAGTTTCAACAATATAAGTGTATGCAAACAAAGACAAAGGAGTTACGTAATAGCGACTACAGGTGCGTAAGATGATGAGTAACTAATAGATTTGGTAACAGTTCACTGAGTTCAACTCAATTTATAGAAACAAGAGGCAAGCAAAACTACATTATGTCAAAGGAGGCGAGGTTAAAGCCAAAGGTTACGTGATCAATTGGAAGAGAGAGAGTACAGACATCCAGTTACCAGGACAAGAAAAGACTGAAAGCTGTTTGTTTTTGAACACATAATACGGGTTCAAGCGTTTGATAGAAGTTGCTTTGACAAACCTGAGGAGAACTAAGCTCTTCTGTCTATTGATATTTTTAAAAGGCTTAACAATTTCCACCTCATGATCCGTATCAAGGAGATGTCTGGTAATAGCACTGTTGTAAGCGCTTGTTCTCTTGAGACATAGGTTTTCCGGTACATGTTCAGAAAATCGGAGGTGTGCTGTTCTTTCTATTCTCCCAATGTAACTGCTCCCGCAGATACACGTAAATTTGTATACACAGAATAAGCGATTAACAAATCTGAAGATGTTGTCTAGAAGGACAACGAAAGCTTCTCAGTTAAACTAACCGACAGAGAGAACACAACTAAATCAAAATCATCCACCTGAGCTATACGTATTCTCTATTATTTTAGCTATAAATTTATTACAAGGACAGTTCAATTTTTCGTATTCACCTGGTAGTATGTGTACCTGGTCTATGTTTGCTCTGACCAAGAAAGTGACTAGCAGAAATAAATTCTGAGAAGTGATACTCAATTGAAGAGATTTCATTACCTCATTTGGTTTATTAGTACTAATATTGTGTATTAATGAATGAAGAAGAAACGTAAGTAATATGAAAAAAACTTTTGATGAGTCACTGCAGAAATCCAGTGAGAAATCACATTTTCATGTACGCATTTTTGATATCCCACATCAAAACAAATACTGAAGCAGCTGTTAATCAGAAACAGCATACCCAGTACAGGTTTACAGGAGTTTAATCGCAACCTAAATACCTCTGTGATAATAACTT